GTAGTTTTAACTAAGAGAAGTTCTGCTTGCTGAACCTGCATTTTACATTTGAATAATACGGAAAATAGTGAAAATTTAAAAATTCGAATACCAAGATGATGATCATATTCGGATAATTCTGAAGATTGAGTCACTTTTTTTTCACTACCCCAATGTTGATTTTTGAAATGGAGACAATCAGAAAACACATTATTTTCACTATATTTAGTTTCTCTTGTGTTCACAATTATGCTGAGTGGCAAAAACGTGAGGAATCAGTAAAGAATCTAAAAATAAATAACCGACATATTTCTGTTTTTTTGGAGCACTTAACCTAGAATATAATCTCAGTTGGAGTAGAAAACCCTTCCGCTAAATAGATTACTGTGGATATATAGTTTCTTTTTTTTTTTTTTAACAAAACTGAAAAAAAAAATGTCATTTCCTTTCTTGCCACTTAAGCACTTATCAAATGTCTTTATGCTCTTTGCAGATATTTTTTGTCTGCATAATATTCCATTGTTTAGATTTAAGAAAATTAAATCCCCTAGATAAGTACGTAAATGCTAGTTTGTCACAATTATAAATTTAAATAAGTCTGCTATGACTATCATTATACTGAAAAGTTTTTTGTATTTAATGACTACCTCCCCAAGAAAATTCCCAGGAGTAGGATTTCTAGGTCAGTTGGTGGGACCATGCTTAAACCTGAAACTATACATATTGCCAGACTGTTTTCCATAGATTCCCGCAGTAGGCACTGCTCACCACGTTTGGGTGTTCATCCTACTCTGTGTTTGCCTGCTTTGTGAACTGATATTTAAAAATATTTACCTAGGGTCGCCGGGTAGCTCAGTTGGTTAGAGCACAGCCTTATAACACTGTGAGTCCAGATTCCTTTGCCAGCCAGCCACCAAAAAAAAAAAAAAATTAATTGGAAAAAAAACCCAAAACGAACTTTACCTGTTTGAAAGGTAAAAAGTAGGCCCCTATAGTCCTCTTGTATTTTAAAAAGTGACTTTAGGGTGAATTATCTAGCCTTCATATATATTTATGAGTTTCCTAAAGTTTTCCTTCTCAGATTTTATGAGCTCTTCATATAATTAAGGTAATGATCTTTGTCTTATTTAAGACCCGTGTTTTTCCAATTTTTGGTTTGTGAGATATTTATAAACTTCTTATACTTCTTTGTGAATTGTCTATTCAAGCCCTATTTATTTGTAAGGATCTTAATGTTTTTTCTTGTAATGGGCTTATATTCAGAATTTTTTATTTGCCATTTTGTAGTATGCTTTTTACTTTTTACGTATATCAAAGCTTTTAGTTTATATGTAGATAATTTTTTTGCTTTTGTGATATCTTTGTTTCTCTACTTAGAAAAGTAGTTCATTCTCAGTGATGAAATAACTATACACTTAGTTTTTCTTTTAATTTTCTATTTTTCTGATTTATTCATACACTTTTCTCAACATTTATGTGTGTGTTGTATAGATCATACAATGAAAAGTTTATCTCTCATTTCTTTTTTATTTATTTACTTTTATTGAAATGGAATTGATTATACGTATTTGTGGGGTGCAGAGTTGAATATCAATATCTATGTATAATATGAGATGATCAAATCAGGATAATTAGTATATTCATCATAGTATCTTTTATTTCTCTAAAGGACTTTGGGTGTCTTTGAAGCTATTGCCAGGTGACCTCACACAAGTTCAGAAGAATTTTTCACACTTGGTTGATAGATCAACAGCAATAGCCCGAAAAATGGGATTTCCTGAAATAATACTGCCAGGTAAACACTTTGCTCTTCTCACCCATTTGGCTTCCTTCCATGCAGGAGTTACTTCTAATAGGACAGTGGAGGCCATGTGGATCCGTAAGACTTAGTTATTACCATTCGGTGGCACCCAGGTAGTGGGAGATACCAGACAGGGTCGCAGTAGCCTAAAAGGCTACCCAGTATGCAAGCCCAAGAGAACCGTTTTCAATGTAACTCAAAATGTTGTGCTCACTTCCTTCATATTCTGCATAACCCTCCAAATGCTTCCCAACACTCCCTTACAGAGAGCAGACAAACAGGAGAGCTCTCAGTTCCAAAGACGAATTCTCTTCGTTTGCACGTACCTTTCCTCAAAGTGGCATCCCCAGCATTGTCGGCTCCTTGCTCAGCTCAGTCTCAGCAGGACCCACTGCTCCATTCTCTTAAGCTCCAACTGTGTCTGTCTCTCCGTGTTCTTATGGTGACAAGAATCTAAATATTCCCCAGTTTTTTACTTTAGTTGCATATTTTTTGCCACCACATATTGGTGATCTGTGTATGTGTTCTCTTGAATTCATCGACTTCACTCATTTAATTTGTTAATCTCCATAGTAATAAAAAGAAATCATGCCCTCGAGGAATTTTATACATATTAATATAAATTAATTGATATTAGTTAAAATTCTAGAAAATCAACCATGCCATGTTAGAGAAGTTCTAGAAAACCAACCTGTTATCTACTGCGTAAAAATTCAGGTTCTTTTAAAGTAATACTAGGTCATATTTCTCTTCTGGGAGATTAACGGGCAGTAATTGGTTGCTGCACATGTTGTCTATATATCATGGGTGTTAAATGAATATTTGTGGAATGAATAAACAAAAGAGTTATAAAATGGAGATTAGTCTTCTTTTCTCATAAGAGAAGGTAGGTTTTTTTCTGTTTTTTTTTTTTTTTTTAATCCATTCCAGAGCTACTTTACCCTAATACATATTCATCAACACTCTGAGAAAATCTTTTTTTTTTTTAATGGTAATATTTCCTAACTGAAGGCAGTTTTTACTGTTACAGCAAGACGGTAATCTGAAAAAATAAAGTAGAGAAATTTTTTCTTTGGACAGGTGAGTTTATCTTTAAAATTTGGCTCAAAAGAGAACAGGAAGATTCTTTTTATCAATAGGATTGGTTCCTAGAATGCCAGGGCTGTAATAGGCTTTAAAATTCATCTAGGACATGTTCCCAGTGCTAGGCTGTGGATCAGCCCATCAGGATCACCTGGGAAACTTTAAAATACAGATTCCCGGATTTCTTCAGAGACTGATTCAGGGCTCCCGAGATGATTCTAGAAATACAGGTCTAGACCAAACTCCCTCAGCTTGGAGCTGCTTCCCAGCACCACGTAGTCGAGCTCCAGTCACCCCGAATCTCTTCCCTCTACCCCACTTGTTCCTGTAGTGCTTTTACTGTCTGCCCCCCTCTTCACAGGTGGGTTCTTGGGGGTGACTGTATCCACTCTCCATCTCTGTTTTCTCCCCTTCCGGTCACCCCGAGTCTCTCTAAAGTGACTCAGTGCCATCAGCCAGGACGGCAGTGTCACTAAGTCTAAGGGGTGTCCATTAATGAAAGGATCAGCTCCGATCTCTCAGCAGCATCTGACGCTCTCAGTCGCTTCCTCTTTGGACTATTCCCTTCTCACTGCCGACCCCCCACTTTCCTCTTTCTCTGCATTCCCCTGGGGCCTCTGCGGGGACTCCTTTGCCACATTATCATCTTCTGCCTCGCCTCTCAACGTCAGCGTTTCTCAGGGTTTGGCTGGAGCTGCCGTAACAAAGCACCGCAGACTGAGTGCCTTAAACGACAGAAATTCATTCTCTCGCAGTCCGGAGGCTGGAAGGCAAGATCAAGGTGTGGCAGGGCTGGCTTCTCACGAGGCCTCTCTCCTTGGCTTGTAGATGCCGCTTTCTCCCTGTGTCCTCACGTGGTCATCCCTCTGTGTGTGACCGTGTCCTCTTCTTGCAAGGACACAAGTCGTGCTGGATGAGGGCCCACACTCATGGCCTCGTGGTACCTTCATCATCTCTTTCAAGGCCCCATCTACACATACAGCCACATTCTGAGGTCCTGGGAGTTAGGATTTCAACATAGGAATTTGAGGGAGGACACAGTTCAGCCCCTAGCAGGCCCTCCTTCTTCCTCACCTGCATTCCCTCCCTCGGTGACATCGTGCACTCACTTGGTTTCCATCTGTCGGTCACCCTTACATCCTTATCTCTGGCACCAAGAAGCCTCCTCTGAACTCTATGGCCATACAGCCAGCTACTTCCTGCCTCGGGACTCTAGTGGGTCCTGTACCCACCCCCATCTGGATCCTTCTCCTCCTCTCTTTAATTGGTTAACGCTTACTCAGCCTCCCCATCGGACCTGTAACCCTGTGCATCTAGACCTGATGCTCCTTGGTAGTGTTTTGTCTAACAGAATGGTGTCCCTGTCCACCCAGCTGCACGGACAGGAGCCGAAAGTCACCCTCGACACCTCCCTTTCCTTTACACCTCACACGAAGTCAGTGGATAAGACCTGCCAGGTTTAGCTTTGATGGGCTTCTCAAATTCATCCCCTTCTCTCCATTTCCATGGGCACTACCCAAGCTGGAGCTGCTGTGGTCTGTTTCCTGGACAACTACCAGAGCTTCTTAACTGGTTTCCCTGTCCCTGTGTTCTCTTACCTTCTGTCCTCTTCTCCATAGCACACCTGATTTGATTCCACTTCTCCCTTGCTGAGAACATTTCATTGACTTTTGTTTATATTTAGGCTAAAGTTACACATTCTTAATTTGACCTGCAGGCCACAGGGGGATTAGGCTTTTGTCTGTCTTTGAAGCTGCATCTCACACCGGACACCCTCTCACTCTGAGGCCTTCAATCATATTGTCTCCAGCCTCTGGGCCTTTGCACATCTTTCTCTCCCTGCTCAAAGGAAAGATTCCCACACACTCCAGACAAGGTCAGGACCTTGTGTCATATGTTCACAGAGCCTGCCCTAATTTCTTCATTTGCAGTGCTGGGTTTAACTGTGTGATGATTTGGCTCATCTCGTCTCCCCTGAGAATGTAAGCTGTGTGAGGGCAAGCGTGGTGCCTGACTCACTGTCATCTCCCCAGCACAGTGCTTGGTACAGAGCCACTGCTCAGTCAGTGTTTGAAATGAGTATTACCCCATTATCTGGTTATACCATAACGTATTCAACCAACACCCTGTGGTTGGAAATCAAAGATGGTCTAGGTTTTCACTTTCATAAACACCTCCACAGTGAATACCCTTCTAGATAAGTCATTGCCTGCATTTTTAATTCTTTGAGACAGATATTACTGTGGAATTGCTGTTTCAGTTAAGGCTTTTGACACCCATCATCAGTTTCTGCATGGATGAAGCAGAAGTAAATTAAGATTTCAAGTTGTAGGGCCGGCCCGGTGGCGCACTGGAGAGTGCACCGCTTGGGAGCATGGCGGTGCTCCCGCCGAGGGTTCGGATCCCATGTGGAGACCGGTTCCCGCTCACTGGCTGAGCGCGGTGCGGACGCAACACCGAGGGTTGCGATCCCGTTGCCGGTCCCCGGTACGGGCGCGACACTGAGGGTTGTGATCCCATTACCGGTCAGTAAAAAAGACAAAAAGAAAAAAAAAAAGAGAGAGATTTCAAGTGGTAAAGTATGAACAAGCCTCTTTTTTTTCACCCCCAGCAACTATGGGCAGTATCTTTTTTTTTTTTTTTTTCAATCACAGAAGTGATAAAAATGATATGTGCTCTGAATATCACCACTATTTCCTTAAAGTGCTATAAGGTTTTATTTTTCATACTGGGAGGCAGTTTAGTATAGTACAGGTGATTTTTCCAATACAGAGTCTTCCCACCCAGACATTTGATATACCTTTTATTTATTCCAGATTTCTTTTATGTACCTCACTAACATTTAAAATTTTTCATTACTATATAGGCAATACATTCATTCATTCATTAATTTTTAAAATTTTTTGCTGGTTAATCAAAAAAAAAAAAAGACAAGTAGAAATTATTCTGATATTGGTAAAAACAATTAAGCTGATTTAAATGAATAGAAAGTACTCTATGGGCTTTCAGAAATAGTGTCTATCTCATCAGGTTGTTCTGTAGATTAATAAATCAATCCATAATTTATCAAATTGATACCTGTAAGACACTTTGACCAGTGCCTGGCACATAGTGAGCACTCAATAAGCGACTGTCTTCATTACTATCAGATATATTAAAATATCACAGTCTCCAAGGCATTATTGAAAAAACAATCTGCCACTATAACCTAACAAAACATAATATGGACTTATTATTAAACAGTGACTCTCAATAAATAGAGCAATGGATTACTATTGAAATGAGTTAATTTTTTTAAAAACTACACTTCAAAGACATGTTGGTATGTATGGAAAGGTAGAATGAGGTAAGCTGAAGAGAACAGTACATATAAAAGACTTTTGTTGTAGGAATAGTTTATTATAAAGTCAGACCATTTCATATTTTATTTATCTTTTTATATCTTATTACATCCTGAAACTTAAAAATGACTTCTCTCAGTAACACTGACGGGATGGGTTATCATGTTGCAGGAGATGTTCGGAATGATATTTATGTCACCCTAGTCCATGGGGAATTTGACAAAGGGAAAAAGAAGACGCCAAAGAACGTGGAGGTGACCATGTGCGTGTACGACGAGGAGGGCAGGCTCTTGGAGGTAGGCAGAGCCCCCAGGAAGCCCACGGCCATCTCTCACACACACTTCCAAAAACAGGAGCCTTTTGGCCTTATTTTAATTGTTCTGCACATCGGTGTAGATTTGGTTTGTAAGGAAAAATATCCGAAACCTGTTAAATTTGTGATTAATGATTACCAGTTTTACTAATGAAGCCATTCAGACTCTTATTTTCATGTGCCTCCTGTGCTAACAAATAGCTCCAGGCTGGCCGATTAGCATTAGCTCAGTTGCTTAGAGTGCAGCCTTATAACACCAAGGTCGTAGGTTCAGATCCCAGTACCAGCCAGCCACCAAAAAAGAAAAAGAAATATGACTCTAATGCAGAAATTCTTTATCATTTCTAAGTTATTAAGCAGCTTTCAAGCTTGCCCAGTTCTCTTGGGGCTGGAGCGAAGTGGCCTGAGCGCCATGAAGGCATTGAAAGGCACATGCCCTTCACCTGGCTGAGCAGAACCAAAGGACACATGCCCATCAGAAACGTGTTAAACTGGGAGAGCTCTTGGGTAGAGATTAACTACCACCAGTCTCTAGTTTTAATCATCAGGAAGCTGTAGCTGGATCAGCTCTTTTCTCGGGAAGACATAGCAGTTAGTGGCAGAGCTAGGAGTGGATCCAGGTATCCAGGCTTTAGTCCAGCATTCTTGCCACCCTGGCAGCTCTCTGATCATTTGGAGAAGTAGGTTAGAATCAAGACCTACTTCTGACATTGAAGACAGATATAGGCAGGCAGTGTCACAGGAGGCCTCCGTGGCCTCGGCTGAAATCCGGCTCCTCTTGTGTGATTCACCTGCTTTGAAATCCAAGAATCAAGCTCTTGGTTCCCTGAGCTCACTAGGGACACAATGAAGCACAAACCTCACTTCCCTGTGGAAGGCATAACCTTTGAAAGAAACAGACAGCTAAACCATTCACTGAGTCAAGTCCTATTCTCAGTTAAAGGGATAAACAGAATGCTGTGGGCACAGGCTGGGAGTGTTTTATTTGTGCTATTGATAAGAGCCCCGGAGTTCCTTGAGTTCATTTCAAGTCCACATCTTCTTCTGGTTGGTTATTTCTCAGCTGTGCTAACCAGTCTTGAAGTGCCCCATCGAGGCCTGGTTCTGCTGAGCCCAGTAGTTCATCACTGGGGAAAGACGCAGCCCTGAGTTTGAGTGAGTGTGCAGTACCGGTGCACCAAGTCCCTACAGCAGGTTGTAGACAGGAAGGAGGAATCACTTTCCTGAGACAGTGGTGCATCTGCATGTGTGACATAACTCCTCACCACCATCTCTAGGCCTCTGTTCCTTGAGAGAGGAAAGAGGAAGGAGAATGTATATCCTGGGGATGGATGAGAAACAAACATTACAGGCAAGAGGAGTATTCTCATGGTGCTGGGTCCCTTAGCTGCTACAGATTTATACACTTAGACGCTTAAATAAAGTGGTAGAAAGTAAGTCTCACTCTACCGGTCACCGCCCAAACTTAATCCACTTACAGGTGCCAGTATAAGGCCCAGGCAGGACATGTTGGGGGCAGAGGGCTCAGCATGGTATGTGGGTACTCTGAATGTTCTGGACAATCATTCTCCCCTTGTAATTTTTTTCTTTCCATCCAAAGAATGCAATTCATCCAGGTGCTGGATACGAAGGCATTTCAGAATACAAGTCAGTAGTCTATTACCAAGTCAAGCAGCCCTGTTGGTATGAGACTGTCAAGGTGAGTACTGGCCTTTTGTATCTCCTGTCATCTCTGAAGCCCCATATAGGTTCCTATCTTCTTGTTACCCCCAAATCATTCCTACTTTATCCTGAAGTTTTAGGTAAGTTGCCTGTGGTGCATAATAAGAAATGAATGGGTAATTATAATTCTGTATAAGAGCATTGATCTTTAATGAACTCCGCATTCTCAAATAACGGCTTTATTCACAAATGTGTGGAAATCTGAGTAGAGAAACTTGGGATCATGGTGATGCAGTAGGCTGCAAGATGGTCCAAAAACAAATGGAAGTGTTCACACTCTATGAGCTGTTTTCTAACATTTTCTTCTTCTTGGCCTCTAACCAAGTTTTCCAGGCCTCTTTTCAATTTAAATATGTGTGTTACAAATTCCAAAGTGCTCTTCAGATCAGTAATCTCATATGAGCCCCAGAATAGCTTGGCGACTAAAACAATCCCCTTTTTGGGTTAGGTGAGACTCAGAGAAGTCAGCTGACTTCNTAGGCTGCAAGATGGTCCAAAAACAAATGGAAGTGTTCACACTCTATGAGCTGTTTTCTAACATTTTCTTCTTCTTGGCCTCTAACCAAGTTTTCCAGGCCTCTTTTCAATTTAAATATGTGTGTTACAAATTCCAAAGTGCTCTTCAGATCAGTAATCTCATATGAGCCCCAGAATAGCTTGGCGACTAAAACAATCCCCTTTTTGGGTTAGGTGAGACTCAGAGAAGTCAGCTGACTTCCCAAGACCCTAGAGCCCACACCTCAGCCTGCGTCTTCTGAATCCCAGGCTCCATCAATCGTTGACGTTCTATGAGCTCTTCATAGAAAACTAAAAAGAATGGCACTCATACCTCAATTTGGAAGTCACCATTTCCAACAATTTTATATAGTTCATATGTTTTGAATGATGCTGTTTATACAGATTTATACTGTGCTTTTTAAAAGTACTTATCTCATGTTATTATAAGTTCTTTAGAAACATGTTTTTAGATACTTGCATAGTGTCCTAGTATATAATCATGCCGTAATTTAACTACTTGCCACAAATTCTGTTCTTTTCATTGCTCCATGGCTCTGTTTTCTCATCCACTTTATATATGTAAGCAACAGAAAATTTACTTACCCGCAGTATTTTATCTTTTTCTTCTGTCGTAAACCTAATTATGACCATCTCCATATACATTTTGCAGTCTGAAAAGCCCTGTATAGACCACACAGTGCCAGTCTTTTCCCTCTGAAGTATTTACTGTTTCATACTTGAAAAAAATACTAGAAATTTGTAATACAGTAGTCCCCCCTTATTCATGGGGGTTCTGTTTGAAAACCCCCAGTGAATGCCTGAAACCGTGGATAGTACTGAGCACTGTATATATAGTCATCACCACATAACATTTCACTCAGCAACAGACTGTGTATACAATGGTGGTCCCATAAATGGTCCCATAAGTTATAATGGAGCTGATAAATTCCTTTTCTATGTTTACATATGTTTAGATATACAAATGCTTACCATTGTGTTACAATTGCTTACATTGCAGTTGTAATGTGCTGTACAGGTTTGTAGCCCAAGAGCCATAGGCTATACCACATAGCCTAGGAGTAGGCTCTGCCTTCTAGGTTTTTGTAAGTGCACTCTGTGATGTTTGTTCAATGACAAAATCGCCTAACAATGCATTTCTCAGAATGTATCCCCATCGTTAAGTAACACACGACTGTACTGTGTTTTTCTCTATACAATCATACCGTGTAGGGTGGGTAGCATCTACAGTGTGGATATGCTGGACAAGTGGATGATTCATGTCCCAGGCAGGGTGGAGTAGGACGGGGTGAGATTTTATCACACTAGTGAGAACAGCATACAATTTAAAACATACGACTTTTTATTTCTGCAATTTTCCATTTAATATCTTTGCACTATGGTTGACTGCGGGTAACTGAAACCACAGAAAGTGCACCTGTGGATAAGAGGAGACTACTTTATCTCCATAATGAAAATCTATGATACATGCAAGATGATCTCCTGAGATTCTTTTGGTTTGAAAATAGCTCAGTCTCCTTTGAATGAAAGCTTATGCCAAGTCTTACTCTATAGGAATTAGTGCTGTGCTAAGATACTAAAATTGAGCCTAATTCTGTAAAATGGGCTGTGCGTGCAAAGTACTGTGTATCTATAAACTGTTAATTCCTTATTGTTACACAGGTATCCATTGCTATAGAAGAAGTCACACGCTGTCACATAAGATTTACCTTCCGGCACAGGTCATCTCAGGAATGTAAGTCCTAAGAGTTCTGTGACAAATTTCCATTAAAAAAATTTACTTTTTATTGATAGCATTTTTTGTGGATCTGAAGAACAAGACAGTTGGAAATTAGATACTTGGAAACTTTACTTCCAGATTCATTGCTAAGGAAACCAAATAACGAATTTTGCTGGGCTTCCAAAGTCTGCACTATCACTATGTATCAGAGTTTCCCCAAAATGTGTTCTGTGAATGCTGGCACTCTGTAAGATGTTAATAGGTGCTGTGTAACAACAAAAAAAAAGGGTTTCACAGTCAGATAGGCGTAGGAAATGCTGTGTATCTCCCTCTTAGACATTCATAATGTATGTTGCCATATGACTGAGAAGTCCTGCAGCAAGAAAACTGGTTAATCCCTTGTCTCCC